CTCTACGTCAAGGACTACTGCCACAAAGGTGAGGGCAGCAACCGGGGACACCGGTGGGATGGGGATGGTCCCACCGAGCCGGGCTCCGGCAGCACTGCCAGCCCTGCCCGTCTCTGCCCACAGGTCTGAAGCTGCCCACCAGCAGCGCGGACACCCGTTTTGGGGACGGAGATGGCCCCGAGATGGAGCAGGACACGGAGGAGCGGTGCTGCCCCTGCCGCCCCGCCGACGGGCAGCTCCGCATGGAAGGTGAAGCTGAGTCCTTCCAGAAGAAGTTTGAGAACTTCCTCCACAACTCCATCATCATCCCCAGGTGCTGTCTGGGGGGGTGCCCGTGTCAGGCGGGGGTCCCCAGGCTGGGTCCGTGGGTCTGCCCCATGTGGGGAGGGCGGTGGTTGCTCCTGGCAGATCCTTCAACCGATTTCCCGCTGTCTCAGGCCACCCTGGAAGGTGACATCCATCAACAAGAACCCGCAGAGGTGAGCAGGCACCACACAAGTCTGGAGGGTCTCCCCTCCCCTATTCGATTTTGGGGGACAACCCAGTCGTCCTGGCTCCCCACCGCCTCCTGTCCCCACGTCCCGCAGGACCCCGAAGCGGCGCAGGGACGTGGCGGCTGTCACATTCCAACACCGTGCCGGGGTGCCATGCCAGCCCCGAGCCGCACCGGGGGCGAGCCCAAACCCGACTTCCAGATCTTTGAGGACAAGGTGGTGCGTGACCGGGCGGTGCTCTCACGGCTGCGGCACTTCACCGAATACCGCATCGACATCCACGCCTGCAACCACGCCGCGCACACCGTGGGCTGCAGTGCCGCCACCTTCGTCTTTGCCAGAACCATGCCGGAGCGTAGGTCCCGGCAGCCTCCTCCTTCCCAAACCCTGTCTTGGTGATGCTGGGATGCTCTGGGGTCCTGGAGCCTCTGGGATGGGGGATCGGCACCGAATCAGGGTGTGGGTGATGCCCCCAGGAGCTGACACCTTCTATGTCCTTCTCCAGTGCAAGCCGACAACATTCCCGGCAACGTCACGTGGGAGCCGGCGGGCAAGAACAGCGTCCTGCTACGCTGGGAAGAGCCCAGGAACCCCAACGGGCTCATCCTCAAGTACGAGATCAAGTACAGCCGTGAGAGTGAGGTGAGGAACCCTCCGCAGCATCCCCTGCCCGGCCCTGCCAGGTCTGGTTACAGGGGCATAGCACCCATCCCCATCCCATCCCAGCCCATCCCCATCCCCCCCTTTCCCCTTTCCTCCCCTCCCACCTCCATCCCATCCTACCCCATCCCACCTCCATCCCATCCCACCTCCATCCCATCCCACCCCCATCCTATCCCATCCCATCCAGATCGGA